TCAAAAAACGTAATTAATATTTCACAATTTTCATAAAAGTAAATACATCAAAATAAACACATTTTTATTTTATATACTCGCAAAGAACATCCAAGATACTCTGTATATGCAAACGTTGAATTAAATAATTGTTTTGCATGTTTATTTACTAGCGTAATAGTTTTTACATCTCCTTCATATAACTTAATATTTGAAAATAATAAGATTTCACTTCACATATAATTTGCATTTACAAAATATACCAATAATCAAACATATCTCACCCGACTCTTATTTGTACGATCTTGAGACAAAATTTCATATCTTTTACCAAAAGTACCACCTCCAGACGATATTACATCAAATGTGTATAAGTCTAATACTGATGGTATATTGGTAAGTGGCACTTGCATGTATTGAATATTTGGAAGTAACAAGTACCAAATTATTTTAGACTTGATACAACTTGTAGACAAAGATATGTCATCCATTGTAATTGTTAATAACAAAGTATGTAGTTTAATATTAGCATATTAAATAATCAGTTATTTATAGTAGTTACTTTTATATATTTGTCATGTTTGTTTCGTGTCTATTTCCTCACAGTAGATGATAAAACAAATTCTGATTTCCCAAAAAAGGTATTATATAAATGTAGAATTTCACCTGATTAATATAAGCTTTTTTGTAATACAGTAATAAGGTTAAAAAACAAAAAAAAAAAACCTCCAAAAAAAGCAAGTATGAAGTAGGTTTAGTTGCATACAATTTACTAAAATCGATACTATAAGAAAGTTGTTTGGAGTATGGCACGAGTTGTGTAAGAAATGCGCAAAATATTATAAACCATGTGGTACTGGAGAGTACAATACACTATATAAATCAAAACTATATATGAAAGTCTATTACTAATGATTTTTCAAGTAATTTATTAATTGATTTACATAATGACTTTGTACCGATATATAAAAATTTGTCTCTTTCTTTTAGATGTACATGATGCAATTTTTTTTTTTTATCCAAAGTCTTGATACCAATTGATTCTTGCCTGTTATAATTATAATGCTATAGAATATTTTTTTATATTATTTATGGAAATAAAGTTTTTTTTTTTAACCAATTTAATTGCATTTTTCGCTTGATTGATTCTGAACGAATTTTTAAATTAATTGGTAAGTTTTTTTGATTAAATTATAAATTTCACTCTATAGCTTTGTTCTTTGAAGCATAATATCGATCTTTTTAAAATTTGGCTTTAGAATTATTTGTCGTTAAAGCTGTGCATCTAATTAAGCTTGAGAGATATGGATATCTATAAATTAGTGATTGATATGGTTATACTAAAAATTTTTGATAATAAATTTTTATATGATACCACATATAATTTGATTTATATAGTACATCGCACTCCTAATATAGCACGTACAGAGTGTTTTACAAGGCGGTAGAGTTAAAAATTATGGCAAGAATATACATATGCACATTGTACATGATGGCATGTCTTCACAGAATAATATGTAGTAAAAGTGACACATGTTAGTTTATTTCATAAAGAGCAAAGAAACAACCTTTTTTTTTTTTTAAAAAAAAAAAAAAGCAATATCTCAAAATCTTGCTAAATGAAACTGCTCTGGGTGTTTTAAAATTTTACTCATATAAGAGCAAAACTCTTCAGTCTGAAATATTTATATCTGCAGATTTTTAAAAAATGTGTTAATAAATAATGCAATTAGAAAAGGTGAGATGATTAGTGAGTTAAGTTGACAAAAAGAAAAATATACTTGCTATTAAGGCAATGCTCATACAACCTTATCATGTCATATAGCTATTTAAACTTAAAAAATTATTAATTAGTTAGATTAGAGTGAAAAAACATTCTTATAACTTATCTTTAAGTTATAAAGCTATGACTAGTTAGAGGTAAAATATTCAGTTTCGCAGTTTTACATGAGGTATACATAGTGTTGGTCACCCTTACAAGTTCAAGTTTCATTAAACACTGGGTATGCAAGATCTAAAGATTATTATACTATATATATTAATTAATTATGTGAGTAAAAGTTGTTATAGCATTTACGAGTTTTACTTTAAAAAAGCAGGTTTTATATATAAAAGCCAATTTTATCTAATTAAAGGCAGGTTTACACAGATATGTGAAAGAAAAAAGCAGATTTTATCTAATTAAAGGTGGGTTTACATAGATACTTCTAAAAAAAGCAGATTTTACATAACCTAAGAAATAAACTCAGGTTTTATATAATCATCTCAGATTTTACATGATATGATTGATAAACACGAGTTTTACCAGTTGGCAACTCAGATTTCACCCTGTCATATTATAATAACTATTATACTTACCAGGCTAATATAAGCTAAATTATCTAAAAGGTACTTTTAACTATAAAACTTATAAACATGGATTATTTAGGTTCCAAATATAATTAATATTTATATTCACAATGTAAATTAAGTAATATGAAAAGTATTATTAAGATGGAAATTTAGATTGAATCATTAATTAATTTTATTAAGATTTTAAACATAAATAGTAAATTAAATCTTGTACCTACTAATATAATACAGATTAAATAATTTGAATAGTACTATATAAAAGGCAAGCACTATATAAGATTAATTTATAGAGAATAAGTAAGATTAGTACTTGGCAAAATCAAACAAAAATTTGATAGTCAATACTTGTAATTAAGTTGGATATTAAAAAAATTACAGATTAAAAAATTTATATATGAAACTTTCTGACCTTCTTCCTTTTCTTTTTTTGATACTCTTCAAATTTGAAGTAGATATTAAAGGTAATGCTTCATCATCACTATTATTTCTTTCTTTGTTATCAGATAAATAAAACTCATCATCATATAAACTATCTTTCGTGGATTCTTCCATTTAGATATTATAACCAAGATGTCTCTTTTACTTTTTATTATATTAATATTGGTGTTAAATATACTTATATGTTATACAGGTTCCGTACAAGATAAAATCTAGAATAAAATTTTATATTTATTTAATGTTTTCTTTCTTTTTTTTATATGATATATAATTTACCAATTATAGATACTTATACAGATTCTTTTAAAACTAAAAGCAGATTTGTAATAGTAAACAAATACTTTATATTTACTAATTTTATATGATGATATTTACTACTAGCTCCATAGCCAGTACTATATGTTCTGTTAATGATAAGTTTTCCTATATTATATGTTGAGAATAATTAAATGCTTAGTGTTTATTATCCCTTTTGACATCAATTTCGTACAAAATAATATTTAATTTTATACAAAATGATATTCAATTTTGTACAAAGTGACATTCAATTTTGTATAAAATAACATTTAAATTTGTACAAAGTGATATTCAAATCTATACATAATAACAATTAAAATAAGTTTAATTAAACCATGATATCTTATGATGTAGTTATCTAATATAGAAGGTTTTGGTACCATTCTAATTGTCTTATCGAAAGGATTTAAATGGTATCAAAATAATACATATTAGATTACTATATCACAAGATATTACAATTTAATTAAACTCATTTTAATTGTTATTTTGTACAGATTTGAATATCATTTTGTATAAATTTAAATATCATTTTGTACGAAATTGAATGTCACTTTGTGCGAAATTTGATGTCATTTTGTACGAAATTAAATGTCATTTTGTACGAAATTAATGTCATAAGGGATAGTATTACACAGTTTTAGCAATAATAATAAAGTGGTAAATACCTCATGTAAAATTATTCAACGCATAATTTGGAATACCCAAAATAGTTTTGATAACATTACGCATCAATAAATACAATAAAAGACGCATTTAGCGAAAAAAATCAAAAAAAGTAATTTTTCTGTTTTATTATAGTATTTTAATAAATAATTTACTAATTGCCAATAGTTTCAGGGTTTGTTAATTGTCAAGTGTTTCGTTAGTTGTTTCGTCAGGGATTGCGTCAATCTTCAGGAGTTTCGTCAATCGTCAGGGGTTTCGTCAATCAGCAAAGTTTCGTCATGACGAAACCATGAAAACCTTTCGTCATCATGAAAATAGTTTCATAAGGCATCATTACTACCAACATCTATAGGAGGAACCGTCAATGTTACACAAATGTTGAGGTAATATAACATGTTTATTAGCCAATCAAATCACAAATTTCAAACAATAAAAACGAATCAAAATTAAATTTAAACTCAAAATATTAGAGTTCAAAATAAATGCCTTAAAGTAAGTGATTATATATCTAATAATCTATTTATTTTAATGACAAATTAACTAACTTCTAACCGTACATATAGAATTTAATAATTGTTTATATACAAATATTGTTAACCATATTTAACTAGAATCCTAGCATTTTATACTATCGTTTCTATTAAAAAAGTTTATAACTTTGACGCGTCTATGTGTAAATATACATAGATTTCTTATTATACCTTAAAAATTATATAAAATAAAAAGATTAATTAGTTAATTACTATTGTTTGTATATTTGAATTTTTTTTGTATTTAAAGATTTCAACACAATACTTATAACAACTATTCTATAAACCAGTACTTTCTACTATGCTAGATCGTTACTTGCACTTTTTTTGTCTAACAAGCTAGAATTAAGCAACGTGGTACGCGAGCTTCCTAAAAATGTATTGTAAAACAATATAAAAAAATCTTTAATTAATTGTGTAACAATTTTGGTAACATCGACGGTTCCTCCTGTTCCGATCACTTGGATATGAATACGATCGGCCAATCAAATCGCTGGAAACAACTAGTTTTGAACTTAAATAAGAAATGGTATGAGCAGTATAGTAAACTTAAATAATGCATTAATTTTACATGCAACTCGTAAAATCATATGAAAACAATATCCGATAAACAGGATACTATTACTAATCTTATATATGGGCAGGTGCTGGAAAAAAGACCGAAAATGACAAAATAAAAGAACTTCAGAAAATCAATTTTTGTGTTGTAAATCTTATAATAAATTATAAGAAAATACAACCTTTAAAGAGCTATCTTGTAAAATTTTATTAATACAACTACTTTGTTTCTTAATAAAAAAAGATCCTAACCTTATTCTAAATTGATTTATGTAAAAAAATCTATTTTAAAAAAATTGTCATTTTCGGTCCTTTTTCCAGCACCTAGCCCATATTATTTCTTAAATTAGAAAACCATATATAGAATTTTATACCATTCAATTCATCTCTCCAAGATGAATCAAATGGTATAAAACTCATCTAATTTTGATCACTAAATCACGAGATATCATCATTTATACAAAATATAAAATTTCGCGCATATTTGAATTTATTATCAAAAATATATAGAATCTTTAACAATTAATAACTGGTCCATTTTGGATGTTTTCACCATCAAATGATCTTCTCAATAAGAAGATCCTAACAAGCTCAAAGTTGATAAAATCTAATCACAGGGTTCTAGGATCGATATAGATTTATCTGATT